AAAAACCCTAGCAAATTCGAATAATTTTCGCGAAAAAAATTTTCTCATCCAGATCACAGGGGGGGGTTTACCCCCCCCCCCTTCGCACATTACTGCTCTGGAAGTAAGTCGTTTTTTTTGTTTGTCAAATGCCGCAATATGATTTTTGTTTTTCAAGCAGTTTGGATCAATTTGAATAATTTAAAAATCGTAAACGATGTTCATCGCTGTTTTCCATTTTCCTCGATAAAACTCATGGTATACCTTTTATGATTGTTGCGCTTAACAGTGGTACACATTTATTTAAATGTCACAGCAAAAAAAAAAGCAAAATGAAAAACGTTCAAGCATTGTTTTGTTTCTATCAAAAATCGTACATCATTTAGAAAATTTGAAGCACCACGCCAAAAAGCCATAACAGTATATTTTCATTTCATTTTGTCACCGAAACAAAAGAAAAACTTCCATATTTATTCAAACATTTGGTGATGGAAAAAAGAATATGAACAAAAGAATAAAATTGTTTTGTGAATTGCTCTAAAAACAGATGTCAACATTTTTTCCATGCTTGAAATCATCTCTCTCTCTCCGTTTTTCTCTGTTCCGTATGTATCAATTTGGCTATTTTTCACAATCGCTTTTTATCTGCATTGTAAATGTACGAGATAGAGCGCACACTGTTAATGGGGGCGTCAATAGAACAAAGTAAAATATTCGGTACACTTTTAACGGCCATATAAAATGTCGCTTGGGCAAGAGACGTATATTTTTTTTTATTCTCTTTCGAAAACCCGATATTTTGTGGCCAGATTCGGTAAAACAATCATCAAGTGAAACAAACACACTTAATAAATTTCAATTGAGGCGACAGTTAGCTGATGGTCTCGACCATTCCCGCCGAGAGAGAGAGAGAGAGAGAGAGAGAGAGAAAGAGCGGAGAGAAAATGAAAAACGGTTCAACTCATATTTCATTCATTCAATGAAAATAAATCTGAACAGTTTGTATTTTTCTTTTTTTTATATAGAGGAAAGCGAGAGAATGTATATGTGCTTATGCTTTCGATATATTGATTTCATCGCGTCCACTGGTACCAGCACACCGACCAACATCAAGTTGTCCGCCCGCTCCTTATTCGATCTCGCTCTCTTTTTCTCTCTTTCTCTCGTGTGCACTCACTCACAAAATGACCGTAAATAAATGGATTCTATGCACGTTCATGGGTTTTGTAATGATTTTAGAGCAATATTAAATGGTGGCGAGCCAAAGTCAGCTCCCCCACCCACCATATGCACCTCGGAGCACCAGGCGCACACAAACACAACCCATGGCTATGAAAATAGCATCACAATTTCTCTATACACAAGCGGTAGTTTATTTTCAGCTCTTAACTGTGGTGACCGTGTATACACACACAATTTAAATGGATGGTTTGCATCGAAAGAGTGTTAAATTTAACGTTTTAATGTAGATTGGCTTTTCTGGTTTGTATAGCAGGCAACTTAAAATATGCTTCGGATTAAAATACACCACCGTAATCCAGTTAGTTTATTAATTTTCCAAACGGTTTATATTGTAACACTTTTCGAACGAACGGCTTAATTTGAAGCGGTTTTCACACACAACCAAACAACATTGTATCCACTGTTGTATCTTTAGCCCATAATATTCTTTGATAGTCTCTTCGTTGGAACTTTCCTTAAATTTTGTCTTTGAAATTAGTCTATTTTGTCTTTGAAATTAATGATGGAATAATCAGACAGTGTTATGGGCTTGATCATTATTATGAAACCCAATAATACTGCTTTCATTCGAGTGGAAGTGAATTAACCCGAAAATATCGATTTCTTCCGATGTCCTTTTTCTTCGAAGTAAACTTTCTCGACATTTTTTTGCAAAAAAAAAAAAATAGACGAAAATATTTTCCTTAATCATATGTGTCTCACATTTTTGTGTGAACTTTAAATATCTTCGCGTCA